ATTTACATGGTAGCAAATTTGACATCCCACACTCCTGTTGTTCAACATATCCCTGTTTATCCTCATCCAGTCTTTGATTGTGAGGAACATTGTTAGTTTATCTTACACCGGTGCGATACAATCCGATAAATCTATATATGTTGGAGTCTCTCAATTGTCTCTACGAGAACTCTTTTAGAGACAATCTTTGGTTCCACATATCTCTCTCTCTACATAATTTTCTTTTCTCTTTTGGTTAAGACGGTTTAACTATTTTAATTTTATAGTTGACTTTATAATTTGGTTAAATTATGTTTTTGTTGTTTTTCCTTTTGGAGAGAAAAAAATGTATCAAAAAAGACATCCAATATAATAACAAGAGAATTATTGTGATCCGTATCCAACGATTCTGATCCAATCCGCCTAATTACTTAATTCTAATTACTTGGTGGTGTACCTAGTGATATTGGACCCAATCAATCAAAAACACATTTCAATATGTCCTTTGCTTTTATTCAAATGATTAGCTTTCACCCATTGGAAATCTTGACTTGGAAGAAATATGCGATTACCCTTCAATTATCTTGAGAAAATTGATCAGAACAAGATTTAGTTTCACATAAAATCATGCACCCTGTCCCAATTTAATTAGCAGATGCCCCAACAGGAGGGTAACGAATACATATATAGAGAAGAAATGTACAAAAAAGGTACCTCAAGAATGAGGAAAATACAACCTAAGGACATAAGATACAACAAATTAAATCATGATACTCTAATACACCCCTTACCCCGCCGATCTTCGACTCGATGTGCACAATGACTAGTAGCATTTTATGGAGTTTTATTGTTTAGTATTGCTTAATTAGTTTAATTTTATATTTGATTTTTTTATTTGGTTACATTTTGTTTAATTTTAGGGTTGGTTGAAAAGGGGAGGAAGGAGCTAAAGCCATTTTGTTAACTTGTTTTTTTAGGTAATTGTACAATTGTTTAATTTTTGTTAATTTTATACTTGATGTCTAGAGTAAAATCTTATTTTGTTAACTAAATGTATGTATTAGTGAGGCGTTTGTAATTGTTTATTTAAAATATTTATGTTTTTTTTTTTGTAAAAATATTTATTATCGGCTATTAAAATGAAGTTTTTTTTAATGATTATTTTATCTGGTATGGTGTTAAAACGTAATAAGTTTATTTATGTCACTAGGTATGAAGGAAGTAACTTATCAAAAACACTTATTTAAGTCAAAAATGTTTTTAATATTCTCTTATCCAAATACTTAAAAACCGTGGTTGTCAAAATCACGATCCTGATCGTAAGATCGTACGATTCTAAGTATGAAAAACGATCCGAATCGTAAAAGGATCGTATTTCGGGTAGGATCGCAGGTAAGATCGTAAGATCGTAGGTAAGATTGCAGGATCGAGATCCGATCCGATCCTACCTTTCCTTGTTTTTTGCAAATGAAATTTTTTTACCACTTTATGTCTTTTATCATTTACCAATCTACCATTTATCATTTTTTATTGTGACCTATGACTAACATTTTGAAGTTTTTATAATTTTTGAACGAAAAATTAAATGTTTGAAATAATTTTCATGGTTAAATATTATAAATTAAAATTATATTTTATTTTGTAGGATCTTAGGATCTTGATCTCGATCTTGCAAACTCAAAAACGATCCTAGGTAGGATCTCGATCTTGATAACCTTGCTTAAAATAGTTTAAAGTTATAGAAACCTTAGAAGCCGACAAAAACCTGCCATATAGATGGTCGGCCCTAGAAAACCCTAGAAGACAACAAAAAAAACCTATCATATAGACGACTAACCTAGGAAACCTAGAATAGAGCAAAAACCTCCTAAGTGCTTCTAAATCACATCATTTCACACACGCACATCATTATATATTAAAACCTGTCTATTGATATACTTAAAACCTTTAAAGACCTATCAAACAAAATACATTATAAATCCACCGAATATTTCTTTTTCTACCAATATGAGATATTAGAAAACTTGCTAACTTCCAAATCCTATTGAATTTACATTACTTGCCCTACAAATAAAAATACATATCTATTCAGTATAATACATATCTATTCAGTATAAGACCACAAATATGTGGGTCCATTTTACTTGCCAATACAATTGTTTTGTTAGCATTTCCCGGTTTTTTATTTTTCTCATGTTTTAGTCTATTTGATTGGTTTGTATTTGTCTCTTAATTTTTTTTTTTTTTTATTATGCCTTGCCCATACACTTGTAATCTGCCCATAGCCTTTTCCAGTTATATAGTATCATTTGAAATCAATAAATAATCATTCAAGACCCATGTTCGAAATTCTATTTGAAAATAACTCAACTTTAAAAATTTGGTTATAGTAAATACAATTTTGTTTTAAATACGTCACTGAGCAGTAAGACTGATGATATATTTATGTTTAATTTAACTGGAAAAAAAAAAGATTGGAAGTTTTAATTAAATACATATGTAGCATTTAAGTGGCGTATGATTTAATAATACGTGAAGCGGTGAAATATTTTTTTGTCAATATAAGATGTTTTAGATCTCCACATTAGCAATGAAATCCATTTCTGGTGATTTACTTCAAGAATGTTAAATGTTTAAGGAACACCAATGAAGAACAATATTATATAATCTACCGTACATTTAATGAAGTTCGATCAAATGTGATAACACCATTGACCACTTTTGTGCATTTGTCTAATTCTCTAAGAATGAATCACGTAACTTCTTGCTAGAATCAATGTGTAAACAAATTAGAAGATAGCAGACCATGAATATGCATTATACGTAACTTGTTATATGTATGATATGTTAAAAAAGATATTATACGCCTCTTTTTATCTTTTTGCATTTAATAACAGTTTGATTTACATATGAAAACTCAGATTGGATGGTTAAAAAGGTCACTCTTACCTTCTCCTATAAATGTCTTTTCTCATCTACTTTCACTCTCATCACATTCTTGGTTGTGGTTGTTCATGGCTAAATTCAACACCTTTTCGCTCTTCTTTCTCTCTCTTGTGATCATGGCTTCCATGGCACCTCCATCACTCTCAAGAACCCTAGTTTCATCATATTCTTCTTCAATGGATCCTCATCATTCCAATGCAGCCCATGTTCAGTATTTGTCAGGCTACACAACACATTCAAGAGCTCGGTCGGAATTCAAAGATGATGCTCATGAAGTTCCAAGTGGACCAAATCCCATTTCAAACAACTCATGGTGGGGTAAAATTAAGAAATATTGGTAAAGATTCACGAATTGAATACCCAAATAAATGTTATAGTGCTATATGATAATTTATAGGAGTATGTTATGATGCAGAATAATATACAATCGAATTGTATTGGTGTTATAAATAATATATGTTTGATCATTTTTCTTAGTGCTATTCTTTTGTTTTAGATGATATCATTGATATAAAACATTTAGAAAAAAGAAATTTTAATTCTTCAAACGAGCGTACAATTAATTTCAAAAAAGTTATGGTTGACTGAAACTAAGAAATATTGGTCAAGATTCAGGAATTGAATACGGAATAAATGCTATATGATAATTTATAGTAGTACGTTATGATGCACAATGATATACATGTTTTTTTTTCCGTAGTCTGATATCTTTTGTTTTGCCATTCTGAGAGTCCACAAATGCTAACAATCAACAATATTTTTTTAATTGAATGAAATGTATTACATATTTGCCTTATTTAAATCGTTAGAAAAGTCACACCCATAAGATACAAGAAGTTCGTGATAAAATTTCATTTAGATATAAATGTATTACATTCAGATATAAATGCATTACATATTTGTCTTGGAATCATTTTTTCTTACATACCTTTTTAGATTTACCATGCTTCATTTTTTATTGGATATCATGCCAAACATCATAGTCTTATCACATATAGACTATTAAAATGACAAGTTGACAACATTCTTAAAAATGTGATTTCCCCTTTATTTCAAACAACCGATCACCATCCATTTACCACTTATTTCAAGCAAGCAATTCTCTTCATTTAAATTTCACTTTGTCCAAAACAGTTGTCACAAGGAAAATGAGAATCGCCTACAAAATTGGAGTAGCTAGGGTTTGATGAAACTTAAGTTAAAATTATGTTATATACATTTGTTGCTCGTGCACGATATATATGATTACTTTTATTATTGATAAACTACTATTTCATAAACTGCTAACTCACATACCCTTCAACTTATTTATAATCTATATATTTTATCCTAACAAAAACATAAAACCTTCGAGCAATAAGGTTGAGGGGCTCATTGCAAAAAAAATTTGATACCGCTAAGTCATAAACTTTTTGGCATTGTTAATTAGCCTCTTCAATATTTCCAGTCCTATATTTCATTTTTTTACTTTTGAAATCTTTATTCTTTAATTCTAACTTTAAATATTTTTGTTTTTTTATATATAATACTTGATGCAAAATATATAAATGGATTGTGTTTTAAATGTCTTTTCATTGTTATAATTTCATCAAATAATTTATAACAAAAATAAAAATATTTAAGATCAAAGTTGAAGAATAAAGAATTCAAAAATCAAAAGTGAACATTAAATATGAAACGGAGATAGTAGGATTTAAGATTTAAGATTCGTTTTAGTATACTATAAGTTATTATAATTTCATGATTAATGCATGTTTAGAGATGTAACTTACGATTAAATACTCCATGTATGCCTCAAAACACATAATTTTGATAACCCCAATTAGATCTTCATATCAACGTATTCAATTATACGGGAAATCATTTATGCAACCTACTTAAAAAATTCATTAACACGTGATATCAATTTTGTTTCTTCTCAGTAGCACCATATAATTTTGACTACAATATCATCATGTGTATTAGGCGACAATTTCTCTTCGGAAACTAACAACAATACCCACTAATTATTAGCCACACTTTGTCTCTCCTTTTTTTATGCATTCCTTCAAATTACCTGATTTGATTCCAATCAACTTTCTTTGGCAAATTTCCCCAAAGTCTTCTCTCCCATTGGTCTCCCAAAAATGGGAGAGAACCAAAAGGGTTATTGACCCGGTTAGTCTTTCCCTTTTATTCTTATTGAGTCAAAATCTTGATAATTCATTAATAATTAGACATTTACATTTGCAGCCAGAATAGGTTTTTGCATATTTTGATTCTAGGTAGGGTTTCAACATATACAAAGGAGATTGACCAAAGACATCGAAAACATTCTTGAATTAAGGAAGTATGGGTTGTTTTTCATGTTTTCCAAAAGAAAAAAGACAAGGCATAGAAAGTGGGACACAAGGAAAGAAACGAAGCATGAATTGTTTTCCGTGTTTTTCTTCAGAAGAATCGACAGAACGAAAGAAACGAAACATGAATTGTTTCTCGTGCTTCCAAGCACGAGAAGCGACACAAGGAAAGACGCAGAAAGCCAATTGTTTTTCATGTTTCCAAACACAAAAGTCAACCCAAGCAAAGAAAGACGCGACACAAGAAAGGACACCAAAGATGGGTTGTTTCTCATGTTTTCCAAAGAAAAAATCCATACAAGAAAAGAAACCAAACGCAAATTGTTTTCCATGTTTCATAGCAGAAGCAAATGAAAACTCCGCAGAAATAAAGAAGCGAAATATGAAATGCTTTTCATGTTTTCCAAGACATGAGAAGAAAGATTTGATGCAAGGAAAGAAGCGAAACCGGAGTTATCTTTCATGTTTTCCAACACAAGTAAAGAAAGGTCCGACACAAGGAAAGAGACGAAATATGATTCGTCTTCCATGTTTTGCAACAAGATGGAAAAGACAGACTAAAAGGTTGAGAAGATTCGGACAATGCCATTGTCTACCTTTTCCATCGAGTAAGTACTGTTTTCCTTTGGGATCCATAAAACCCAAATTGTTCAATGATTTACCACTTACGTGATAAGCACACTACTGAGCAGCTCATTGGCGTAATATTTTGCAGAGAATAAGAACAAAGATTCGGGCGAACTTCAAAGCCGTGATGTTTCACCTAAAAGGGCGAAAAAGGTTAAGGTCGACATTAAAGATCAAGACAACAAAAACCTATCGGCAAAAATTTTCACTTTCAAGGAGCTTGCAACAGCAACAAAAAACTTCAAAGAAGAATGTATTCTTGGGGAAGGTGGATTCGGGCGAGTTTATAAGGGAAAGCTCGAGAAAACAGGCAAGGTAGAGTAACGAGTCTCAACAAACGTTCAACTCAACATAGGTGTTTGTAACAATATAATCACATGATTTCGATTCCTTTGGATCAGGTTGTAGCGATAAAGCAACTGAATCCTGAGGGAAAGCAAGGAAACAAAGAGTTTCTTGTGGAGGTTATGATGCTTAGCCATCTTTCCCATCCACACTTGGTAAATTTGGTCGGATATTGTGCAGATGGAGAGCAAAGACTACTCGTGTACGAATATATGCGTGCTGGTTCTCTCGAAAATCATCTACTCGGTACGCACAATTTTGTTAGGCAAGTATAACATTACATTACCAGATTCGGTGTCGATCAATGGTACAAAAAGTTGCAATTTTTTATCCCACTCCATAAAAAGGCATGAGCGCTTAATTTTGTTGTGATTTTAAAATTTGTAGATCTGCCACGTGGCAAACGACCGCTTGATTGGGCAACGAGGATGAAGGTAGCATTGCACGCTGCAAAAGGTCTAGAATACTTGCACGAGAATAATAATCCTCCGATTATTTACCGTGACTTAAAGTCATCCAACATATTGCTGGATAAGGATTTTAACGCGAAGCTATCTGATTTCGGGCTAGCAAGGATTGGTCCAGTTGGGGAAAAGACTCATGTGTCATCGAGAGTGATGGGAACATTCGGATATTGTGCACCCGAGTATCAAAAAACAGGGAGGTTGACTGTGAAATCAGATATTTATAGCTACGGAGTTGTGTTGTTGGAACTAATTACAGGGAGACGAGCGGTTGATTTAACGAGAGATACCGAAGAATTGCATCTTGTTCAATGGGTGGAGCCAAAGATCAGGGACCCACACAAATATGCGGAAGTGGTTGACCCACTGCTTCAAGGAAAATACCCACAATCTGATTTAAGTCAAGTGTTAGCGATAGCAGCCATGTGTCTTGGTGTCAATGCACCGCTCCGACCACCCATGAGTGATGTGGTTGCGGTTCTTGATTCCCTTGTGCAGGAGTCAATACACCATTCATATGACTAGTTTGCCCTAAAGAACATATCCAGGGTCTCTTTGGTATGGTGGAATGGAATGACTTATTATCAAATAAACCATTCAAACATATATATATATATATATATATATATATATATATATATATATATATTATGTAGAATTACAAAACTAAATGAAATTAAACTTAAAAATAGAGAAAAAAAATCGATATATCGATATTTTGTAAAAAGGATATTAATCAAATAAGGATATATTGCTAAATAAACTACATATCAACGAATTTCATGTCATTTGAAATATATATTATATATGCATTTTAAATAGTCAAACATAAGTTGATAAATTAAATACCATGTAAAATCTTAGAATAGAAATAAAATCAAGAAGTATTTTTAGTCAACTTTTGGGAAATTATGAAAATTGTTTACTAAAGTTTTGATTTTTTTAAACATATCTCTCTTATTGAAAATTATATATTAAAAATAATTTCTGATTATAATATATCATTCCATTTCATCAAGGAATAGAAAAGAACACCCCACCCCCATGGAATGCGTATTTCAGTTTTCAAGAAATAGAGGATTTAACAGAAGTAGTTCATCATTCAACAAAAGGAGTCATTAACACGTTTTTCTTGAATGGGATAAATTGCCACAATTTTTATGTTCAACACAGATGAAGTAAGAAAAAAAAAGCACAAAACCTGTTTCAGCTTTGTGCAGCATTCATATGCCCATATTTCTGCATCACTTTTTTGGTGGCAAGTGCAGCAGCCTCACTTGCACGAAGGGTCCCACTAGCCATCATTGCAGCAAACTCCTTACCAATCTCTTCTTGCACTTTACTCCTTGCATTACCAAGAGGATCAACTGGTTTCTCTTGTGATGTGCCAGCTGGCACATCTACAGGTGGGGGTGGGGGTGGGGCCACATTTACATTTGTGTGGCTGCTGCTTTCTGATGGTTTATCAACTTTCTTTGACACCTGAGGAATTGTGTTCACTGGAGATGGTTTAAACTGAGGTGCTTGTGGGACAGCCCCTGCCCTCAATGTTGTCTCCAAATTCTGTATCATAGGCACTGTCATTCATACCAAATTTCATGTGTAAGATAAGAATCCATAAAACCTCAAATGCATCTTTAACATGAAAAGTTAAAAAAATAAAAAGGATGATACGAACTTACTTATAAGTGCACCCATTGGGCTACTCATGACTTCGTTAGGGAGATTGAGGATGTAATCTGGTATGGAGACACCCACCAGAAACTGTGCGACTTCACTGCTAAAGTTGTTACAGTTATGTGACAATAAACTGTAGGTTTCCTGTGTGTATCGGGGGCTAATCTCATCTAGATACATCTGAAAGACATCTTTTGGGACATGGGTGACACCAAGATCAATGACTTTGAGTGGAGTTCCATATGGTGCTGTTCCAGCTGGAGTTTGTTGGATACCAGCCCCAAAAAAGTACTCAGTACCATATACCACCACACCTGTATGCCTGTTTTCATATATATAAGTTAACAGATGCTTAATTGGCTCCATGGTAGGTTGGGGGGAGGGGGTATGATGCTTACCATATGGCTTCAATGGCTTTCCCTAAGAATGACATGGAGAGTTGACGAGCTAAACCTCCACTTAAATCATACACGTGCAAACTCACCTTGTAACCCTCCTGTTAGTGAAAATTTTCAAGTGGTTATTTCATATCTTAAATAGTAAAAATTTGAAATGTGTAACTAGTAAATATCTGATAGAGCAACAATGTACCTCGGCCATATTTCAAATTTAAAATGTAAATGTCCTGTCTGTGAGGTCTTTTGGTATCTTGAATGACAGTGAGCTCTGTCTGGTTGAACAAAGAAAAAAAATGCATTAAGAATACAAAATATTGCGATGCAACAAATCAACAATAAGAAATAGCCCCAGAAAAATATTTAACATGGAAGATCAAAGATAGTGATGCAAATCTATAAGGTTGAACATCAGAAAATTCGTATTGAAAAAAGAAAAAGTAGAGCAAATCTATCAGTTACCATTTAGCTAACCGGAACATGACATGTAAATTGATAATGATACCTTTACCCATATGCATATTGCACTTAAATTGGTGAAAAGAATTAGAAGTTGGTTAGAAATCATATAGAATTGCTAAGACTAGACATATAGTTTCAAATGAAGCAAGAATCCCATAGAGTGATTGCAATTTGAAGATTTATGGTAATATTTGAGGACCAAGAGACAATAGAAAAATCTACACCAGAGAATTCTTATTCTAAAAAAGAAAAAGTAGAGCAAATCTGTCGGTTTTCCATTAAGCTTTTAACTTCTAATTGGGACATCACACGTAAATTGATACCTTGTCTAACAGCACAAACTTCATCATTCTCACATTGCATTTAGATTGGGAGAAAAAATCGGAAGCCTACTAGAAACCCTCAAGAATTGTACATATTATGAAATAATACCTAAACCCCCTCACATGCCAGTTACAATGTAATAGCAAAACTTCCAATTTCTAAATTGAGGTCGGAACATCACATTTTAATCGATTATTTGTCTAGCATCACATGTTAATTGATAGTTTCATAACTTGTCTGACATCACAAACTACATCATACATTTTGCACGTAGATCAGCGAAAAAAGTGGAAGCCAACTGTAAATCCTAAAGAATTTTGAGCACGATGCATATGTTAAATGTTGAATTATACATAAAACCTCTCCTATGCCAGTTACAATTCAAGCTCGAATTACGGGGGTAACTCCAATTCTAAGAGTTAGGGGAAATTTTGGGAGGAATCGAGTGTAGATCAAAAAATTGGAAAAAAAAAAAAAAAAAAAAAAAAAAAAAAAAAAAAAACAAGGGAATTCTTCCATTTTTCAATCGAAAGTATGTACATCAAATTAAATTGATACCATGTCAGATCACAAACTTCATCGTACAGATATTGCAATTAGATCGGTGGAAACGATTAGAACACGACTAGAAATCCTAAAGCGTTGCGAAGGTTATACGATAAAAATGCCAAGATTTACTGGTAACTTCAACGAACATACAATAAAGAACTGTACATCAAAAAAAAAAATTGAGAGAGGATGCGACTCGTACCTGAGATTCAGTAGTCAAAGAAGACGAGCGCAGAGCGAGCCAGAAACCCCTGGCAATGAATTTATAATGATAGAGAGGGCGCAACAACGGGACGGTGGATCTTTCTTGTCCATGACATTCTAGAAACTACGAAGATCGAGAAAGTCAATATTGTGAGATTTTTCATTTTTTCCAATCCATCTCCGTAACGGAGTTAAAAATAAAAATATAGAGTAAATTACATTTTTTCTTTCGTATTATGATTTTTAGAGTTTAGCTTCACTGCAATACGAATCATTTCAATAAAATATGTCCTTTATCCTATCAAATGTTACTATAGACACAATAAACGTAAACAAATAAATGATGTCATATTATATAATTCATTATTAGTTTATAATGTTTGAATTTACGACAATTCTCTAATGAGAACAAAAAAATCACATGCTTAATACAATTAAAAAATAAATAAATAAATAACAATAATATACTATTGATTTTTACCATCATTTTATTCTGATATTATTAATTCCTTATTTCATTTCGTTTCCATCCTAAAAACATTTTCATTTCCACTATATAAAATTATAAAGTGACTCTATATTTGATGTGAAAAAGATGTAAAAATTAAAAAAATAGAAAGAGATTTTCCAACTCCATTTTATTCTTTTACATCGAATATAGAATTATTAATAGTTTTATTCTATATTTAAAATATACTATTCATAAACTTTATAAATAGAATTAGACTTCAATTTATTATATCTGGTCCTTCAAATTTGAGTGTATATACATCTATTATTATTATTATTATTCACTAAATGCATGTCTTATATTTTTTTAAATATACGTATACAAGCAAACTCACTCAATAAGATGGATAAGTTCGGTGACTACCTTCAGATTATATTTAATTTTGGGGTTTTTGTCATAAAAGCCCCTAAATTTACACAAAATGTTCGGTTATATCCTAAGTCGATTTTTTGGTGCGTTAATGCCTCAAATACCGGAAAAACTATGCATTGGCGAAAATTGGAGGAAATAGGTTTCGAACCTGGGTCTCCTTCCCAAGATGTCAAGTTCTATACCACTGAACTAAGGAAATATATTTGAAAATCCTCCGGAAATCACTTTAGTTATTAAGTAACATACAGGTTTTCTTGTTATTGTTATTATAAAATTATAAAAATGTTATATATAATTGTTATTATTATTATTTTTATTATTATTATAATTATACATATAAATGCACATAAAAGAATGTATTTATATATAAACTAGCAATGTACCCGCGCAAAGCGGCGGAGCGTGTAAATTCTTATGGTGATATGTTTCCTCTACGAAAATGTTATGTTACAAAAGAAAATACATGTCGAAGACAAAAAAAATCAAACTATGGTGTTATTTGGGAAATGAAGTCATTTTTTGTTCTTGGACGGTGAACTTTATAGCAGAGTAAGTAACAAAGAGGTATATGCGATTGGAGAGATATTTAAATCAACATGCTAAATTTAAGGATATCTAAAAGGGTTCAAAATTATAAATCCGCAATTTGAGGGAACCATATCAAATTGCTGAGAAATATAAGGAGATTCGATGATAAATATTTGAATTCAAAATATGGTTAAAATTTAATATTATTTTATTAATGGTTACTTGTACTATCAGCTTCATCATTTGGACGTCTTAAAAAAATATTATAATTATAATCAATCTATTTTTAGAAACAGTTAGATTTCTTTTATAAGATAGTAAAGATAATAATAATAATAATGTCTCTATATAAAAATGCATTTACATATCCGTATTTTGATATAAATACAAATTTTATATATTTTTAAATAAAAATGCACATGCTAAACATATTTTTATAAAGTTAATTACATTTTTTATACATACATTTTTATACGTTTATATACACTTATTTATAAGGATTTATATGAAATGTTATTTAGATTTTTCTGATACATATAAAATCTATTGATATGTATAAAAACATATATAAACATATAAAATATTATTTATATATATAAATATTTTTAATGAACATAAATACGTATAGAATGTATATATAAATTCATAAAATAATAATAATAATAATACATATACAATTAAAGCGTATCTTTTACCTGAAAAAAAATATATTTTTACAATTAAAACTTATTTAAAAATATGTGTATAATTTCATAATAATAATAATAATAATAATAATAATAATAATAATAATAATAATGTTGCAACGATATATATAATTTGTTTATAATCTTTCAGCAAAGTGGTATGTATGCATGGGTTGGAAGTTCAAATCTTGTAAACTTTGTTTTGTTTTTCGATAAACCAATTTTGTCAATGATATATTCAATTGCGCAGCTAAAATAACAAGAAGATATGGACAGCTTGTTGGTAAGGTGCTTAGAATATGTGGAAGAGACTCGGGTTCGAATCCTTCGAGCCCCATTTTCGCTTCCTAATTTTATAATTTTTTCAAAGGATTAAGCAGTTGACTCTGTTGAAGGTAAAAACCGATCAGGGGGCAAGAACAATATTTCCGGTATTTGAGGCATTAACGCACCAAAAAATCGACTTAGGACATAACCGAACATTTTGTGTAAATTTAGGGGCTTTTATGACAAAAACCTTTAATTTTGCTCCATATTTAATGTATTTTTATTTATTTATAAATAAGTAGACAAAATTGCAAGAATGGTCCCTGTGGTTAGGTGGAAATTGCCACTTTGGATCAAAAAAGTTTGGGCTAGCATTGATGGTCCATAAGTTTGCATTTTGTTGCCACTTTGGTTCAAAACCTTAATTGTTGTCACTTTTCCTCTCGATACCATCCATTTGACTTGTCAAATGGAGGGTATTTTCATCAATTAATTAATAAATTCCTTTTATGTATCCATCCCTTAGCGCTATACGGATAAAAGTGTCGATCATACTCACATTTATAGTCTTAATTACATAGATAGTCGTTTCCACTTCGATTGTCATTAACTAAGGATCAAGAACCCTAATCCCATTTCCAACTTATGCGCTTCAATAAAGTGAGTTGATCAGTTAATGCAAGTTCCAATGTGGAATGTAAGGTTGTATGAGAAAACATTCAACGCAATGGTGGTTTATGGTACGTATTTTTTATTTTGCTCACTAAGTTGCATTTTTATGTGAAATTCTCTCATTTGAAACTTCTTTTTTGTTCTTGTTTTGAAGAAGGATACCCTACTCTGTTTACCATCAAGCTACATCTTGGGGGAGAGTTCACAAAGTTTCCAGATGTGAACTACATTGATGGAACTGTGACATACGTTGACATGGTCGATATAGAAGAGTTTTCTGTTCGTGAAATGGATGCCATCATGAAAGGGTTAGGATACTCAGTTCCTCCAGTTATCTATCATCATTTTCGGTTGCCCAAAAGAGACATGCATTTTGGACTACGTGCCCTAGGAAACGATGATGATGTTCGTAATATTGCCCAATATGTGAAGGAGCATAAAGTCATAAGGGTGTACACTGAACACGGTTTTACAATTTTGCTTACTTACTTTATGGGTCTTAAACCTGTTAAAAAGGTCACTATAGAGCAATTAGATGAAATTAAGGAACATGAAACCACCACAACTGATAACCAAGCTAGTGATAGGAAAAGGAGTTGGACCAAGGACAAATCTTTGTCATTATCCCCTGTTTTACATAATGAAGGTGTTTTGTCATTATCCCCTATTTTACATAATGAAAGTGCTTTCTCATTATCCCCTGAGAATAATAGGAAAAGGAGTTGGACCAAGGACAAAGCTTTGTCATCATGTAGTAAGAAATTGACCATGGATGATGTTGGTGAAGCTAATGTAGATGGGGATAAGGATCATGCACCTAATGATTGTGATGAGGCAGCTAATGAATTTGATCTTGGATTGTACCAACAGATTTTTTACAATCTAATTCTAAATTTGATAATGGATTCAATGATGAGGCAGCTTTGTTATCCGCAAAAACCTTCATGACAGAAGGGAAGGTTGCTACAGATCCTGTAAGTATGTTGTTGAGATGTTCTTATGTGTACAATTTGGGCATCCTTTATAGATCTACATTATGCTAAGGCCTTTGATGATTCGCTAATTGGTTTATTTCTATTTTTTATATTGATGATTGGAGCTACAAAGGATAATAGAAACATAGAATGATTTTAAACGATCATTCTTTTGCATGCAATGCAATTTGAAATTGAGTCTGTTTGAGTTTTCAAATTTCAGCTATTGATGCTCCCGGTAGATTTATTTTGGAACGGTGGTCTGTCTTCTGGGATATATTTATTGCAAGGACAAATAAGAAGCATTCTGAGGCTGCTGCATCATATATAGAGGTCTATTCTCTATGATTTTTCTTGTTCTTATGCTAGAGATTTTCACTAGTGAAAAACTGGTTTCACTTTTCTTTTCCCATACTTCATCTTCTTTTTCTCTTATTCTCAAAAACCAATGTCAAGCATAACAAATGAAAGCAAAAGAGCATCAACAGCAGCTACAAATGCAACAACTGCATCTGATGCAACAAAGAAATGTTCACTTACAAAGAAGGGATCCTAATCATCCTTCACTTGGTAGCTCTGTAAATGCTATGAATATGAATGGTGATGGGATGATGGGAAAGCTATCAGCCAGTAGTAGTACACTTAGTGTGAAGTTGCAAGAGGAACCCATGAAGCATTCTCATTCTATGGTTTCAGAAACATCTCCAGCTCTTCTTGGTTCCCACAAGATGACCCTTATGAAATCAGCCACAAATCAAGGGTAAATCAGCATTTTCATTAATAAAGATGCTCCTTTTTTATTCTTTCTCCATAGATTGGTTGGGTATTTATGTTCTGTTTTTATGTTGATTCAGCCTGTTGATACCAGGCAATTCTCCAAATGTATATTCAACTTTGCAGCAAATTCAAGGGATACCTCAGTTGAATACAATATATTTCCAACACTCTATAAATATATGTTTTTCTTATTCTCTCTGTTCCATGTTTGGCTCACGAGCTTCTACAAATCCTAGGAAATCAAACAAGAACTTAACTTGGGTAACACACAAAAATTCTTGCCTACAGATCCTTCATCAATTTATGGACAGACAATTTTGCAGTCAAATTCTAGTCTGGTTGGTGTGGGTAAGACATATTTCTTTAATTTTACTTGTTTATTTTGGGTATATTTTCATTTTATGTTCCATTTTCATCCATTCAGGATTGAATCAAGGTGTTACAGGTCTTCCATTAAAGGGTTGGCCTCTAACTGTAAGTTATCATGGTTTTTTTCTTTCTTTCATCTTATGTTATTATTTAGTTTGAACTTTGAAGGGTAAATCTGACAATTGGTATCAACATGGTTTTCAAGGAATTGACAGTTTACGCCCCAATATGGGTTTGCAAGTACAAAAACCCAATATGCAAAACCAAAATCAGTTTTATTTAGCATCACAGCAACAACAAGCCTTACGAGCTTCACCAAATTATGGGGCTGTTGGATTACCTAGAGGCAGTTAAAGTATGAAAGATGGTCAACCTACAAGAAATGATGGATCCGTAGGTTCCCCGGGTCAAATGAATTCACCCAAGGTTATGATTTTTCTTTTATGATCCAAATTATGCACAACCATTAATAAACATGCATCAATTAATAATATTTTGGTTGCATTATTGCCTTGATGTTGACGTCAAATAAAATATTATATAACATATGAAGATGCCGCAGATGCAACAATCTACTTCCCAGCAGCAGGACCAGTTGCAGCAACAGGTTGTGATTTTGTAAATGATCCCCTATTAATTGCACAATCCATTAAATATGAAATTATAAATTTAAACCATTGATCACATCTTGTGTTGTGATACTTGGATAAATTGTAAAGCAAAAGAAAATTCCTTAATAGTTCAACTTATATTAAGTGTAGTATAATTGGATTTTTTTAAATAAACATAATTACCTTATTTAAATTTAAATACCTAAATATAAGTGTAAGTTACAAAAATAGTCCCTTTAGTATAATTGGAATTACAAGTTCAGTCCAACTTTTGATTACCTTACATGGGCAATACTCATGGTTTTAGTTTATTGCGAGTTTGGTCCAATGACTAACACTGTTAATAAAAGTGTTAAATGCATGTAAAAAGACATTTTTACCCTATTTTTTTTTTGTCAGTCTTATTTTCTTGTTTTGTCCTTTTTTATGTGTGTTTTTTTTATGTTCATCAACAATATGGCGAAACCAGAAAAGTAACCAACATTTAGTTGGTTTTAATCCAGTCATCCACAAAAACCCAAATTAAATCACAGGTTATTTTAATTTCCACTATACTCGGATAACCATTTTTGTAATTTACTCCAAATATAAGATACTTTAAATCAAAAGTGGGACCAAAGCTGTGATTTTCAGTAAAGCAAAGGGACCAGATTTGTAATAAAAGTGATTGTTTTATGTTTTATTGATAAATTTTGTTTTAGCAAAGTAACAGAAAAAGAAAACAACAACATTCTTCTTCAACTGGGCCAACCAATAGTAGTGGCACAGGGAATACACCAAGCTCCCCAGCATCAACTCACACACCAGGGCTTGGAACTGGAATCACAACAACAACTACCAGTCTCCACCATCTACCCAAAACCATCATCATGTATGCTTCTTCTTATCAGGGAACAGTTGCCATTGCCTCCTCAACAAATCAGCTCGTAAGTTTTTTTTCTTAAATTTTATAATATTATATATGCAATTGCGTGGGAATCGAGTTTTGTTTCATATTGCAGGATGACATTGAGCATTTTGGGGATGATAATGTGGAATCGTTTTTGCAACATGAAAGAGATGGAAGACAAGTTTATGGTGCAATGATGCAACACAAGACAGAGTCGTCTTCTTCCAAGGGTTTGTAGTTTATGTTTGTTTGTTTTTGTGGAAAATTCCAATAAAATTATAATTATCAGGTTTTTCCTTTGTGGAAGTTGGCTGTATTCGGACAAGAAAGAAGGTCTTGTGCTGTCATTTTTCTTCATATGGGAAGTTGCTAGCTAGTGCTGGCCATAACAAAAAGGTAAACTGCTTCTTGGTTATAATATAATTAGTTTTTTTTTTCTTGTAAAAATCAAACATAAAGCGAAGTTTAATTACTATATTCAGGCACTTCTATTGAACATGGATACCCTACACCTACAAACAGAGACCACCCCTAAAGAACATCAGTTCTTAATTACTGATATTCGTTTCAGACCAAATTCCACCTAGTTTGGAACCACTTCCCTTGATCAATCTGTACGAATATGGGATGCAGTTGATGTAACCTTTCTTTCTTTCTTTCCTTCCTTCATGTTCTTACATTATTTCAAGTTAATTTTTGTTTTACTAATGTGGTTTTCAGCCAAGCTATTGTCTACATGCACACACTAGACATACCTCACATGTTATGTCACTAGATTTTCATCCGAAGAAGACAGATCTCTTTTGCTTCTGTGAAAGCAACAACGAAATTCAATACTAGAATATGAACCCATTTCAATGCACTCGTGTTTCCAAGGTTGGTAAGGAATATTCAATCTGGCTGATTTTCTTATATATATATATATAGGAGGGTTCAATTGACAAAAAAAAAGGTTGAGAATGGTGAAATTATTCTCAGTCACTCATTTATTTTTGCCGCAAAAACCTCCGTTGTACCAGCACAAATGGGAAAGAAATAGACATGTGTTTTCCAACAAAACATGTTTCTTTAAACTATGATAATCATTACATTAATATATACAAAAACATAGTTTTTTCGTTTTTTTTTTTAATTTTTAAGAAGCTATTTTTATCGAAAAATGATTTTAAATATACCAAAATTCATTATTTTTTATTCTCTACAAATAGACATCCATATTGATATAGTTTTAAGATAAAATAAAAAATTTATTTTTTTTATATTTTCAACTATCGTTATTCATAAGTGAATAAAAATGAATCAAGTTTTTACTAAAGTACATTCGTTATTCAGTTATGAATAAAAACTATGCTTAATTTTTATTTATTTTTTACAATTTAAGTATCATTCATATATGAATATAACATATAATAAACATAGTATATTCATATTTAAATATTAGACGATGCATTCACTTATGAATATTACATAGTATATATTCACTTGTAAATATTAGATGGTATATTCACTTATGAATATTAGATAATATTTTCATATCTGAATATTAAGAGTATTACATGGTATATCACATGTGAATATTACATAGTATATTCATTTATGAATATTAGATGATATATTCACTTATGAATATTATACAGTATATTCACATATGAATATTATAATGTAGTTTTACAAATATATATAATTTTTATATGTTATTCACATATGAATAACATACAAAATTTCCTGTCAAATGATCAAACCAAACACACCATACATTTCTATCCAAACAAGATTAAACAATAGCAAACAAGCATCCATGAAATCATTGTCATCTGTTTTCTTTCCTGTCAAATGAAACAAACCAAACTCCCTTCGTTATCGTTGATTTCCAGTCAAACCCCTTTCTCCATCTGTTCATGATGAACACACCAAACCTGATCAAATCCTTTTCCCCCATCTACTCACCCGTTGAACATCGATCACCCAAACACCCACCTAACTGATTTACAATCAAAATAAAAGAAACGAGAAGAGGATCGTACCAATTGAAGCAGCAACTACCCCATCGAGATCTTTCAGCACTTCCCGTCGATTACCACAGCCAAAAGCCACCATCTTCTAGACTATTTCCGTCGATTGGAACCTCGGTTTTCCTTTATGCCTTGGCTCGTTGACCCACTAACACCGATGACATCTTATCTTGCCTCCCTCTCTCTTCATTTCTCGCCGACAAGAAGCAAATGAGAGGCAGCGGACGTCTGACCCAATCTCCTAGCAAAACCAAACCCTCGCTTCTGGCTTCTTTCCGATCGCAATCTCCTAGCAAAACCAAACACCTCCTCCTTTGGTCTAGTCAAAACCACGGAGACCATCTCGGTTTGCGAGTCGGGCGACGAACCTCCGTGCTTCTCCCCCTTAATCAGACGAAGACGAGCACCGGAGAATCTTCACCTTGGTCTCCTTTGCTGCCGACGACGTGAGGTGAACGAAGGGTTGCTGCAAAGCCCGCTGTGTTCGTTCATCGATTCGCTTCTCGTTTTCCTCTCGCCATCATCTGCTTCGTATCCCCTTTACGGTTTTACCCGATCAAAAAAAATGGATTGATGATGGTTTAATCGAAGAAATTTGGATGATTGTTGAAAGTTGGAGAAGAAATTTGGATGATGAATGATGAATGAGTTTGAACTACAGATACGTATTTGATATTAAAGGTTGTTCTCATATTTACAAGTTTGCCACTATATCTTTTTATGCTTGAATAAAATGAGTGGCTCAGAAATGATTCCCTCATTCTCAACCTTTTTTATTTTCTCAATTGAACCCACCTCTCTCTCTCTCTGTGTGTGTATATATATATAATGTGATCAGGAAAAAAAGTTTTATAATTTATTGTGTTTGAGTTTATATTAAGTTTGAATACAATTAATGTTGTTGTAAGGCACATATGGGAATTGTAAACTACTTGTGCTGGGACATGAACGAAGAATATTTGGCTTCTGTAAGTGATGAGATTGTGAGAGTGTGGTCTGTGGCCTCTGGCCTCTGGGGAATGTATTCATGAGCTCACTTCCGATGAAAACCAATTCTATTCATGTGTCTTCCATGCAAGTTATTCTGCTCTTTTGGTTGTCGGTGGAATGCGGGTAAGTGATTTTGTTTTTATGTACTCTATTAAATTTAAACGAGTCTTGATATGTTTAATTAGGTTGGTGTATAATAATATTTGATTCTTTTACATTACATGTAAATATAAGGTATAGTTTTAATATTATTCTATGTATAATTTTAATATATATAACACTACAATATTTATTATTTATAACACTAAAAAATTGAACATATTAAAAGCTCGTTCATACCCAAATAAGATTAAGTTAAAAGTATTTGTAGAAAATAAAATTATATTTTAATTTAAATCATTAAATTCTTAGAAAAAATGTCTTATTATTATTATTATTATTATTATTATTATTATTATTATTATTATTATTATTATTATTATTATTATTTTGTTATATCTGATTAGGCAAAATAAACACCTTTTTGTTGGCCATTCCAATAGAAACCAAATAAGATTATAACAATTTTTTTTAGAAAATAAAATTATAACTTAACTAATATCTCTAAATTCTTAAAAAAATTATTTATTATTGATTTAAAATAAAAATATAAATAGCTTATATTACAACTTTCATTCTTCTCCATGATGAAATGAAAGAAACACCCATGCCTAAAGAATGAAATTAGCAAAATGGAAGTAATCATATTCCTTTAAGCTTCTGGAATCAATTCCATTACCCAAAGCAAACAATTTTTTTTTTTTTCATTCCAATAGTATGAATCATTTCATTCCTTCTCTTATTCCTTCATACCAAATATTAACTATCTTACATTTATTTATGTATGAAAACTGATACCTGGTGAAGAAGGTGCATCCTTGATGACATGGGGCAGATCAAAGTTGATGCCCTTAATAGTAGGGTACTTTGAGACGATGATCTCAAGGTTAGCACCTAAACCACCACCTACATCAACCAACTTTTTTACGCCTTCAAATCCTTTGTACCTTCCAAGAAACATCTTCAAGACCATTGTTGTGCCGTCATACATGCACTTGTTGAACACTTGATTGAATCTGTTGTCTTTTACAGGGTACTCAAAAGTATGGATTCCATGTGCCTTGTTAAATGGAATCTCTCCCTCCACCACTACATCTTTCGGGTGATACCTGTCCCAAAACAAATATTTTTTATATATATGAAGATCAAACTCATGAACTTAATGGTGTTCTTTTTTATTATTGAAATTAATTTGGTGATTTGTGTTATAATCATTCGGTGCTTTTAAAAAATTAGCCAACCGAACACAATCATTTTTATACATATTATTTAAATTTATAGAAAAACATATGTTAGATAACAACACAAACTAAAACTTGGCAAATTTCTTTAGTGCAAAATGTTGGTGTAAGCAATATTATTTTTATCTTTTTATCATTTTATTCAACATAATGGCTTTTTAGACATTTTTTTTACGATGAAAAAAATATTCAACTTTATAACCTATGATATGACACTAGTTTATTTCAACAACAATGTTTCACTTTTTTGCGGTTTATGCAACAAAATTTCATCTTTTTACCTATTTAATTATTCAATTTTTATTTTTCTTATCGGTTAATTTATGCAGCACACATGAATAATTAACCAAGTTTGATCAAATGGTTTACCATGTTAATTACAAGTAAAGTGTTACATATTTTGTTTAACTACACGAGTGTATTGAGCATGCAAGTTGGTAGAATTACATATAAGATGTAAATATAGATAACTGACCAACAATCAACTAATATTGTATCATAGATCAGGAGAACTGATGAAGCAAGAGAAGTCCTTTCTTGATTTCGAACATAGTTATTTGACAGTGGGGTCATGCCATATATCGTCTTAGAATTCCCACTTTCATCTTTAACGTGGTTGGATGTGAGAACGGACTGGCTAGCAAGAAACCTAAGAATGCGTTCAATTAAATCAGGAGTCTCTGGTTTTTGTGTGGGAAGACTAGAAGAAAGATCAAGAGAAGAGAATTGGCCATTAGGAGCCTTTGCCATGATCTCAAAGAGATCAAGTTCAATGGCAGTTTTGATGACCATGGGAAGAGCAATTGCTCTATTTTTTTGCATCACATTAAGCAACCCTTCCTCTTCAATTGACATGTTGTAATCTCCTTCTAGTGACTCCATGATTCAACTTACCGGTGAATGTTTGCTATGAATGAGATGCTATATATACACATAATATTTGGTCTTCCGTCGTTGTAGACTTGTAGTATTCAAATAAAATTACACTTTGATTTAACATTTTAACAAAAAATTAAAGTTTGTACTTTTCAATGATATGTAGTGTTACGTATTGGGTGCATGGTCATAGTGGGTAGGGCAGCATGTGCGATGGCTCAGGGCCTCCAAATTTTTAGGCCTTATTTTTATGTATCTATTTATATTATTATATAGTGTGTATGTACGTATTGGGTGGAATAACCGAGTGAGAGAATGACTAAGAGCAGTCGGGTATATTGATAAAACCATTAAACAAAAGAGTCAAAA